CCTGTAGTTATAATTAGTAACAACTAGCCAAAACATATATTAAATTGATTAAAATTAGTCATAAAAACAATCAATGTGTAAAAAAATATAATATTTTTTAAACATACCACATTCATGAAGACGACGAGTGAGAAAGAATGAGTAGGGAAAACAAACAAGAGAGGCTATAATTAATTGGAGGTAAGAATTACAAAAAAAAAAACAAGTGTATTGAATTTTTAAAGAAACACAATATTACCTCCGGTCCTTAATATAAGACCCCGTTTGATTTTTATTTTGGTCCTAAATATAAGACTCCAATCCATTTTGTCTATCATATTTACTCAATTTTTTTCAAGATAGTCCTTCTAATAATTATAGTTCTAGTTAATACACTTGATTAGTAAGGATATTTTAGAAAAGACAACACCTATTTAAGACAAATAACTAACTCAACTTACTTTCTTAATCTCCTCAAATTAGGCTCTTATAATTAGGACCAGAGGTAGTATGTTGCTAATCTATAGAACAAATTCAATGTAAGAAAGCGTTATTTGTATATAAGACTGAAGGGAGTAATTAATCACTAGCTACCGTTATCGTTATTGATATATTGTTGCGACCTTATGCATGCTCCGCCACCTATTACGGCTGTGAGAAAGAAGAGTGGTGGCCCTTCGCCGCCGCAATACAACGTTGGTAAAGAAAGAGTGATTTATCTGTTGATGCTCATTGCGATGGGGAAATAATGAGAATTTACCAGCGGCGGATAGAGAAGAAGATAAGAGGATTGGACAAAAATGATATAAATGTGTATACTTTAAAGATAATAGTAAATTTTTTATAACCTAACAGGATAATGAGTATAAAAAAGCACATCCTATATCTAATTCTCGTAATATTGAAGGTGGATGAAAGATTTGATACACACATTAATTATTTGATGGACTCAGTCAACACATAAACATAAAGTTGGCCAAAAAAATCATTAGAATATAGTAATGAAAGCTGTCTTACAGTTAATTCAGTGCTGGACCCTTGTTCCGGACTTTTTGAGAGATATAATAATTTTGTCTTAATTTGTGGTTTCCTTTTAGCTAATTTCTTGGTACTGTTATGCGTCGTTTGGTCGTGTTTGGTTATGTGGAACCAAGAATATTAAATGGGAGTAGCTAGATATATACTTCTCTGGCACTATTTATAGGGCAGAGAGAGAATATTTTTTTTGTCTTATTTATAAGTTACTTCATTAAATTTTTACCATGAATGTACTATATTGTCCTTCATTTATTATAATGTAGATAGTTAATTTTTTTTTTGAAAGATGTATATATTAAATAGGAGTAAAGTTGGAAAATTGTTATATTTTAATGAAGAGTTAATGCAGTTTAAGGCTTCCCTTGATCTGTGTGAAACATGCTGGAAATACCCTATAAATAGGATGAGAGGAGTATAATTGAATGGATTTTTTTATGTTCCCATTACTTTAACTTCAATTCAAAATATAATTGCCAGACATATTCAACCTTGCTTCCAAGACTTATAAACTGAATTCAACCAAATATAAAATTTTTCAAATGGTTCTTTCCTTTTTCTTTTTTTTTTTTTTAAAAATGCTTTTGATTTTGGAGCTGGTAAGAAAACGCAGACAGAAATCTGAAAGTTACAAGTGCAGGAAATACATAAGGGAAAATGACATTCAGGTCCCATGGAGAAGAAAATACATCAAATAAGTCCCTGGAAATGTCCTAATGAATCATAAGTCCCAAAGGGACCTCAGTGCAGTTTAATAAAATTTGAAAAGACCATATTGCCTCAGATAGCAATTCTGCCAATATGCTGAAGGTAGTCTGAAACCCCCTGTTGCGATTCAAAATCTGTTTTCTGGTTCCAAGCCATATTGCACGCCGAAGCCCCCCGACAGCAATCGCACAAATATGCTAAAGGTAGTTTGAAACCTTCCTTGTTGCGATTCAAAATCTGTTTTCTAGTTCCAAGCCGTATTGCGCGCCGAAGCCCCCTGACAGCAATCGCACGAATATACTAAGGGTAGTTTGAAACCTCCTTTGTTGCGATTCAAAATCTGTTTTCTGCTTCTAAGCCGTATTGCGCGCCGAAGCCCCCTGAGAGCAATCGCACGAATATGCTGAAGGTAGTCTGAAACCTCCCTTGTTGCGATTCAAAATTTGTTTTCTAGTTCCAAGCCGTATTTCGCACCGAATCCCTATTCTATTGCACTTCAAAATCACGCTCTCACCTTACATACTCTCATCCAAGCTTTATTGCCATTTTAATCATATCCTGTTCCGTTTCAATTTCTCTACATGTCATCCGTGTTTCTTCTCTCTTTTCTTTTGATTTCAAGTTGAAAGCCTCTTCTCTTGTGGTGGGTAGTGACTGTGTGATCTCGTTGAAATCATCCTCGTCGTCGGAGCTCGGAATCTTTGCAGTGAAGACCGTAACTGAAGTCTAAAAGCATCGTTGAAGTATTTGTTGTCACGGTAAGTAATGAAGAACTCCATTTTTGTGTTTGAGTTGGGTTACAGACAGTGTTCACTTTCACAGGTTTATTGGGTGTCGCTGCATTACATTTTGTTTGGGTGAAATGAGTTATACTTGGCCTTTTATGTAGCCAGGTTTTGAAGTCCGAATCATACTTCTTGTGGTTCCTCTCGTATGCTATTCTTAACTTGTTCGAACAATTTCTTTGTGATTGTTGTTCATGAGATAATTTTTTTTTGGGGGAAATTTTTCGTGTAAAAGATTATGTCACTGTAGTTTGTAGGTGTGGGTTCATCGACTTGGAAGTTGGAACTTCACGTATTGCATTCTCCTTTGCCGTCTGCCATGAAAGTAATTTCTATTTAATAGCCAATCTATCTACATAGTTAGCCACCCTCCTTTCATTAAAAAAGAGGGTCTTTTAGGAGCCATAATGATTGAAAAAGAGGATTACTTCAAATTGGATAACTGATTATTTGAACCTTTGTGACAGTAGTAAGACAAAACTACTTTAAAAGTGATTTGGAATCCCTTGGGTGAGAAATATATGTTTGTTTTTTGATGACTTCATCTCTGGAACTTTGTCGTTTGGTAAGAAATATATGGTTGGTTTTTAATAAAGAAGAACATGAATGGTTGGTGTTAGTACATCAAGGCTTTTATGTAGTTTGTATATGATTTGAAACAAGAAGCAAAACAGGAAACCAGGAAAATAATTACTTGATTCAGTGCTGTTTGATCCATCATTTGTTATCATGCCACATGTTCATTCTAGTGTCAGGTTATTTTTTCTTTGTTTCGTACTGCTTTTAAATCAATTTTCTTTTCTATTTCTAGCAAGCTCTGCATCTCTGCAAAAGTTTACTAGGAATTTAAGAAGAATTGAAGTTCAGTGCACTGGTCTTGTTTTGTAGGTTAAGAAGATGGGAAAGGATGCATAAAGTAGTAATTTTTCTGGCTATGCCTTTTTTACGGAGGAATTCTATAAGAAAAGCTCAAGAAAATACAAATCACTTGAAGTAGGGAATTCACATGTGAGGAAGGCGTGGGATAAATTATCAGAACAACAAAGGGAGGAATATTGTCAAAGAGCTAAGGAGCAAAGACCTCCCACCAAGTCCAAGAAGTATATGGTTCCGTTCTATACAAGATGTGCACCAAAACAATTCATGCAAGTTTGCAAGCACATCAAAGAGAGGAAGGAACTGATGAACAGGCTGAAAAAAATAGGTTTTGACAAGTTAGTTAAAGTCTGCTGCCACACAATTCAAAGAGAATTGTGTGGAGAGTTTATGTCTGCATTTGACCTTGCAACAAAAAATATTTGCATAAGAGGGAAGAGAAGGGAAATGAGGGCAAAAGATGTGCATGAATTTTTGGGGCTACCATTTGATGGAGAAGAGATTAAAGTAGTTGTCACTAATGAAGATGAAGTGTTCAAGCAGTGGAGGATTGTGTATGGCAATATTCCATACAAGAAGATAGCATCATTGTTGACTAAGGAGAACTAAGATGAAAATTTTGAGATGCTGTTTGTCATGTATGCATTGGGAACGTTGTTATGTCCTAATGCAAGTGTTTGTGTCGATGATTATTTGTTGAAGGTAATACTATTAACAAAGGATAGATTGGGTAAGTTTGATTGGTCATCTTATGTGTTGTATGAACTATATAAGGGGATTAGAGTGTACAAGAAACAATTGGAAAAAGGCAAGTTGACTGAGAAGAAGAAGAATGTGCCAGGTCGTCTATACTTCCTAATGGTAAGTGTTATAATAATTTGTATATTTCTGTTGTCATTTGATGGTCTGAATGTTGTCAATGGCTGCTATTAACTTATCATTCATGTCACATGCAGTTATATTGTCTATAAAATTTTCCACTGGGAGAAACAAAAGCTGCACATGTAAAGCATGCTATCCCATATTGGGATGAAAAGAAAGTATAGCAAAGAGTTAAAGAGGAGAAGGAAAGCAATCAAGGACTCTTGCATTCGGCAAAGCAATCCACCAAATTTGATCCTGAAAATTTAACTCACTCAGTATGTGGACTTGTAGGCTTAATCATTTTTTTTTGTTTTTCTACTATTGCTTACTATTTTGAATTTTATTTCTATAGAAGATCAAAAAGACATATACTCGATTAGTGTCTATGTTGGGAGAGGAAATGATGGCCCTTCAGTCAAGACTAAGGGAGGGTAGTGGCAATGAAAGTGAAGAGGAGAAAGAAGAATCTGAAGCAGAAGAGGAAAAAGTTGAGAAAGGGAGTGATTCAGAGGATGAGGAAGAAGATGATAGAAACGAAGAAGAAGAATCTGAATCACAAGATTATAGAAATGAAGAAAAAGAGCAAGAAACTCAGTCAGAAAAGGAGATGGGTGGACAAGAATTACATGACGAAGAAAAAGAGAAGAGAAATGAGGACAAAGAAGATGAAGAAGACAATAAAAGAGAAGAAGAGGATGAAGAGGACAAAGAAGTGGATAAGGCCACCCAAGGGGAAGGGAACGAACATGTGAGGAAATCAACAAGGGTGATAAGTAAGGGGAAAGCTCTTAGGTCTCTATTTTTGGAAATTAAAAGCAAGGTTGGGAAAAAGAGAACAATTGATGACAGGCAAGCTTTATTTGCCATGTGTACAGCAAGGTGTAATGAAGAGGAGCAAAAGTAGTAAGTATTATGTTTTGGTGACCAATTTTGTATTATGTTACAGAATTTACTGAATTTACTAACTTGATAATTGTTTCATTTGTGTTAGATACTTTGTATTGATGTATGGATACTTCCTAACCCGTGGTGAGTTGCAATGTCTCCAATGTAGAAGATGGATAGACGACAGGGTGAGTCACATGTAGATAGTTAATATTACAATGAGTTATTTCATGCTAAGGAGTTGTAATTTCTTCGTATTAGCAATTTCAGTTTATGACTATAGTGACAAAGACATTCATTGGAGATCAAAAGGAAAAAGACGGCCGAGTCAACCACCATATATTTTCTGCAGATTTCATGCAGAAAATGGTGGCGAATCCTTTAAGGTGGAAATCAGAGGACCATGAAAGAGAAATATTACCTGAATATATTGGATACAGTATCAGGGATTGCGATTTCATTTTTGGTCCTACTCTATTTGAAGATCATTGGTTTTGTTATGTTTTCGAGGCAAAGACCATGACCTCCCACGCCCTTGACTCGTTGGTTGATAGCATCACATTCATGAGATTACAAGCCGAGGAAGAAGAAACAAAGAAGAAGGGGGGTGAGCAACAACATGATGTAAAGAAGAAGAAAAAGAGGACAAATAAAGGGCAGTTCGACCCCAAACAATTCATGGCAACACAAACTGTGAGTAGTTATTTACAGATTTTATACTTGTCAATGACTATATAATTGTCACTAGCAGTCTGCATAGTTGTCATTGTATGCTCTGGTAGTTGCCATTGGATGCTGTGTTAGTTGTCACTGGATGCTGTGTTACTTGTCACTAGATGATATATTAGTTGTTAGTTGTCACTGGATGATTTGTTACTTGTCACTGGATGATATATTAGTTGCCACTAGATGCCCTGTTAGTTGTCACTAGATGCTGTGTTAGTTGTCACCAGATGCTCTATTAGTTGTCACTAGATGCTATGCTAGTTGTCACTAGATGTTCTGTCCCTTGTCACTACATGCTGTGGTAGTTGTCACTGGATGCTGTGCTAGTTGTCACGGGATGCTCTGTTAGTTGTCACTAGATGCTGTGGTAGTTGTCATTGCATGCTCTGGTAGTTGTCACTGGATGCTTTGTTAATTGTCACTAGATGCTTTGTCCCTTGTTAGTGGATGGTGTGTTTTTTGTCACTATGTGCTCTGTCCTTTGTCACTAGATACTGTGTTACTTGTTATTGGATGCTCTGTCCCTTGTCACTGGATGCTCTGTGCCTTGTTACAGGATGCTGTGTTGTTGGTGATGCCTTTTCATTATGTGTGTGTGTTTTTTTCCAGATGAACTGTTTCCATTCGATGCTACGTGCTGTTAAGCCAAAATTGTTTGTCAACGAGGACAAAATTGACAATGAAGTGAAATGGGCTAAAGTCTATGTGCAGAATGATACATAAGTGTAGTTGTTCTGTTCAATTGTGTAATGTTGTTTTTGTTTACAATAACAATTGCAAGGTGCTAACATATTCAATTTACTTGGTAGTGATTCATGTGGAGTTCATGTTATCTCTTGGCTACAAGAGTGGGATGGCACCGTTCCGAATGATGCAGGATATACAATGTCACGATACTCTAATGATGAACTACAAGAGTTGAAGGTTAGCTGTTTGTGGTGGTTGGTTACCCATCCAAATAATGAATATGGGGGTGAAGTGATGTCGATGCTATCGGACTACAGCAAGACCAAGAAGAGGAGATAGAGTAGTCGATTAATTTTTTGTTCTCTTAGCCCATGATATGTGTTGTAAGATGATTAGCAAATAGGTCATTTTGTAACAAATCAAATTATGTTTATAATATTATTACCTTTGTCATCACATATTATAATACTAATTTGTTAGGGTTTTATTACATTTTTAATTATATTTCTATTTTATATGTGCAGAGATATTATGATTGGTTACCTTGCGTTTAAATTAACAACCTAAGTTATTTGAAATAACAACTAATATAACAGGAGTTAATGACAAGTGATATGAGAATTTCTTAACAAGTCACAGTGCTCTATTGACAAAGGACAATGTTCCCATAAACAAGTCACAGTGCTCCATTGACAAGTCTTAGCGCAACCATTGACAAGAGACAGTGTTGCCATTAACAAGTCACGGTACTCCATTGACAAGTCACAATGTTCTATTAACAGCGACCATTGACAAGGGACAGTGTTCTCACAAACAAGTCATAGTGCAACCATTGACAAGGGACAATGTTGACATTAACAAGTTACAGTGGTGTATTGACAAGTCACAGTGCCCCATTGACAAGTCATAGTGCAACCATTGACAAGGGACAGTGTTGCCATTAATAAGTCACAGTGCTCCATTGACAAGTCACTGGATAAACTATTGACAAGGGATAGTGTTGTCATTGACAAGCCACAGTGCTCCATTGACAAGACACGGTGCCCCATTGACATCTCATAGTGTGACCATTGACAAGGGATAGTATTCTCACAAACAAGTCACAGTGCTCCATTGACAAGTCACAGTGTTGTCATTTACAAGTCACAGAGCCACCATTGATAGGGGACAAGGGAGAGGTAGGTTTTTGACACTTCATTAATAATGATTATATATGACCATACAACCAAAATATAATATGACAGAGTGATTGTAAATATCATTTCATGGTAAAAAAGGTTGTTACTTGAATTCATGTTGTTGACAACTTACATCAGCAAATTCATTGATAAGTCATAGTGCAATGATTGACAAGTCATAACAAGTCTAGTGACAACGCAGGGTGTAGGTAATGACAACTAAAATGACAGTATAATGTAACATGCCAATTCATAGCCAACTTTCATTTACACCTTCATATACATGAAACTACACATATTTCACAACCCATCCCAAAAAAAACATAGGGGTTGCATGTAATAATGAAACTAACTAGTGCTGTGTATCCATTTACAAAAAATTTCCTTCACACCCATTTACAAAATATTCTCTTCACATCCATATACAAAAAATAGCTGACTTCAATATGTTCTTAGCTGGGATTTGGGTTTTTGCATGTCTTGGTAGTGTGTTCAGGCTCTTTGCATCTGCCACAATAATAAACCTTCTTATTTTGGAACTGAGATTCTATCCTATCAATCCTTGGCCTTCCTAGAGGCCTTTTGGTTATAGGTGGATGCAAGAATGTTTGGGTTAGCATATGACTCACAGTAGGTGTATCAGGCTGTGGGCAATCATGTGTTGCAATTGGCCTCATGCTATTTGCATATATTTTCTCCTGTGTGGACAACTTGTAAGAATCATCTACATAATCATACACACTACGGTGAACTAGTTTGATTGCCACACAAGCATGTGGACAAGGTATTCCACTCATTTGCCATGCCAAACATGTGCATCTGTGAGAAATCAGATCAACAGCAACATAGATGATGCGTCCCTCACGTATTGTCTGCACCGAAATATGGTCATCACCATAATATGTTGCCTCCATATACGCACCTCTTGCTATTTGTTCCGACAACTTTGATTCAATATTGGGTCCTACATCATTTTTTCAGCTTCTCATCCCCATTTTGCTAGCAACCATCTTCTTGGCCAACTTCTCTTGATGCTCTTGTATCAAAACCGACAAGGCGTGCTTCCTTTCTTTCAACATCCATGCATTAAAAGACTCAGCAAGATTATTGGTGATGTTATCCCATCTCTTAAAAGGAAATTTACTTTGCGCCCATCTATCCACATCCCCATGAGATTCAACCCATTGTGCTAATTGAGGACAAAACAATCTTAAATTTCCCATTGCAACATTAAACACATTATCATGCCTTGCATATGCAATTCCATCAAGTAAATTAAGTGCATTCTCCTTGTTATTTTCTAAGGTTCGTCTCACACCTCTATTGATTTTCACATACTGCGCACTATAATTTTCTTTCACATGTTGATAGCAAAAAGCATGTCTGTCACCATCAAATACTGCCCTGACAGCACCGATAATAGCATTACTCCGATCTGAGACAATTGTCACTTGTGCTGATTTGGTTATCTCTTTCAGATTCTGTAGATAGGGGTGAGCAAAACCGAACTGGAATCGAAAACCGAACCGAACCGAACTCAATTCGGTTATTTCGATTCGGTTATTTCGGTTATTATTTTTTTTTCGGTTATTTTATTCGGGTACTTCGGTTATCGGTGTTCGGTTCGGTGTCCTAAAAAATAATTCGGTTAGTACCGAAATAATCGAATTTGAAAGAATTTTTTTTTTAATATTTCTCTCCTGGTCAGCTGGTCTCCACTCTCCCTAGTCCCCACGGGCACGGCCCACCTCCTCTTATTATTTTCATTTCACTCCATTCTGTCCAGTCCAGTGATCCACTCCAATAGTCCACCAGTTCGTGACCCACACAACCCAAAGTTCAGCTCCGCCTCCAGTGCTCCACGACTCCACCTTCAGGGTTCAAGCTTCAGTTCACCAGTCCGTGACTCACTCAGTCGCTCCCTGCCTCCCTCTCTTCCAGTCTTCCAGACTCTCGAACTCCCATCTCCTCTCAGCTCCAGTGCTCCAGAGTCCACGGCTCCACCTTCACGGCCTCACGCTCACATCGTCATTCACAGTTTCACACTCACTCACTCAGTCGCTCCCTCTCTTCCAGACTCTCGAACTCCCATCTCCTCTCAACTCTTAAGCCCTAAGACTCACAGTCGCAGGTCAACAGTGGATTGTCTTCTCAACGGCTCCCTTTATCCTCGGAAGTTCTGATCTACACTCCTTGGGTTAGCCGTTGCCGTCGCCGTCGCAAGGTTCAGAGTTTCCCTTCATCGATCGGTCATCGCAGATCGTCACAATCTCCTGGAGCTGTGGAGCATCACATTACAGTCAGCCGGCCGCCACTCAACTCACTCTCGCCACCGGTTTTCATATAAGCTCGTAGAGTCGCCGTCACAAGGTTCTAGTTTACTGATTATATTGTGTTATTAATTAATTAATCAAGCATAGCTTTTGAAAATATGGTACCATCGATGTGCTTAAATAGTTAAATTATTGGGCTCCTCCTTGTGGTTCTGTCTTTGATTGCATACGGTTATCCTTGTAGTTGTGTCTTTGGCTACTGTATTGTTGGTTCCCTACTGCAATGACAAGAGATGTAATTATGTAAAGGCGTTTCTCTGCCTTTGGTACATTGAAATTTTGGTGACACAGCATTTTTTTTAATCGATGATTCAAATTTAGATGTTAAAATGGCAAAACCGAAACGTACAAAAGTTAGATGTTTAAATGGATGGGAAACAGTGGGGGAAAGGAGTGAGGGGAGAAGGGTCAACCGGTCAAGTCATGTTTAGTGTTAGGTGAATAAGCTCAAGCATGTTAAAACAAAAGAGAGGCTTCGATTTATTATTTCACGTTTGTCATCTCCTCTCAGTCTCATGTAGCCATCATGCACACAAGCCTTCAATTTATTATTTCATAACGGTTTGATGATGCAGTAGAGAAAATTCTGTAACATGTTCCACTTTGATGATGGTGTAACTAATATTTTTTTTTTAAAAAAATAGATGTCTTCTCATGGTGAAACTATGGGTGATGCTCAAGTTGGGGATGATGATACTACTCAAACAACCAAGCCTTCAATGCCTATAGCAAGTGGGACTACAAAAAGAAAAACCATGAAACCAAGATCAAAGGTTTGGGAGCATTTCACCAAATTTGTGAATGAGAGAGGTGAAACTAGAGGTAAGTGCAACTATTGTGAAAAAGATCTTGCATGTGATTCAAAAGCTAATGGAACTACTGCACTTAACAACCATTTGAATGCTTGTAAATTGAAGCCCCCTCCTGAAGAACTTGTGCAATCTCACTTGAACTTTAATGTAGATGACAAAATGGGTCTTACTAATTGGAAATTTGATCAAGATGCCATTAGGAAAGCCTTATCATGCATGATAATTACTAATGAATTACCTTTCAAGTTTGTTGATGGGGATGGGTTTAGGCAATTTATGGCAATTGCTCAACCTAGGTTTAAAATTCCATCAAGATGGACTGTTGCTCGTGATTGTTTTGGGATTTACATTGATGAAAAAGTTAAATTTAAAGACTATTTATTGCATAAGAGGCAAAGGGTTTGCCTCACCACTGACACTTGAACTTCTATTCAAAGAATCAATTATATGTGTGTTACTGCTCATTTTATAGATGATGCATGGACATTGAGAAAGAGGATTTTAAATTTCATTCCTATTTCTAGTCATAAGGGGAAGGATATTGGAATGGAAATGGAAAAATGTCTACTTGAATGGGGAATTGAAAGGGTGCTCACAATTACCATGGACAATGCTAGTTCTAATGATGTCATGGTTCAATATTTAGAACAAAAAATTGTGAATTGGGGTCACTCAATTATGAAATGTCAATTCTTGCATATGAGATGTGTTGCACACATAATCAATTTGATTGTTACTGATGGGTTGAAAGAAATAGGGAGTTCTGTGAAAAAAGTTAGAGAAGCTGTTCGTTTTATCAGACAATCACCCCTTAGGATGAGAAAGTTTAAAGAGAGTTGTGTGGATGAAAAGATTCAAAGTAAGCAAATCTTATGCTTAGATGTCCCTACTCGGTGGAACTCTACCTATTTGATGTTAGAGACTGCTCAAAAATTTGAGGCAGCCTTTAAAAGGTTTGAGGATAAAGATCCTTATTTTCGATTTGATCTTCAAGATGAAGAGGGGGTGCCTGAGTCTGATGATTGGAAGAATGTTAGGAGGATGATTATGATGTTGGGTCATTTTTATGAGCTTACTGTGCGGATATCTGGTTCTTTATTTGTAACATCTAATACTTTTTTCTGTGAAATTTATAAGCTATATCGGTTTTTGGATGAGTGGACAAAATGTGATGTTTGGGAGTTGGCTTCCATGGCAAACAGAATGAAAGAGAAATTTGATAAGTATTGGGGAGATCCTATGAAGATGAATCAACTTCTTTACATTGCTGCTGTTCTTGATTCTCGATATAAATTAGATTGGGTGCAATTTGCTCTGTGTAAAATGCACACAAGTGCAATTGGTACAAGTTTGGGGAAGCATGTTAAAGAGCTTTTAATTTCTTTGTATAATGAATACAAACACACTTTTTCCCCCTTAACCCAATCTGAAAAGGAGCCATTGCATAGCACACAAGATAATTGTGATGAAGATGATGATCCTGCTATGAAAGTTAGAAAATTGCTTGATATTGAGGAACAAGAGTTCATGAATGAGCGTCTTGGTGGAAGAACTAGCAGAACTGAGGTTGATATATATTTGAATGAAGAAATTGAGGTTAATAAAGATAATTTTGATATTTTAGGTTGGTGGAAGCTAAATGGTCCTAGATTTCCTATTCTTTCTCTAGTGGCAAGAGATGTTTTGGCTATTCCAATTTCTACGGTTGCATCAGAGTCTACATTCAGTACTGGAGGACGAGTTCTAGATTCATTTAGGAGCTCTTTAACTCCTAAAACTGTGCAATCTCTAATTTGTGCTCAAGATTGGCTTAGACGCTCAATTCAACATGTTGTAGAAGAAGGGAATGATGATATCCAAAAGATAGAACTTGGTAATATTTTATTTTTACTTAAAACATTATAAGAATAATATAATACTTGATTTATTATGATATATGAAGTCTAATTTTGTTTTTCTTTGTGTAGATTTGCAAAAAATTGCATTAGAGGCAACTGTTGATATACTATAGGTGCAACAAGGAAAAAACTTAAGAGTAAACAAATATTGTGCTTAATTTGTTTGTTTTTTCTTTAACTCTAAAGTTGTGCACTCTCTAATTTTCTTGTTTAATTGTAGCTGTTGGTGAATGTCTTCCTCCTCATATCAATGGTTTTTGCTCTCAGATGGTGGTTCTTCTTGTTCATTGAGAGTCATGAAGTGTGCGTTTTTGTCAGATCCTCAAGCACCTGCGCTGCGCCCATTTTCATATTCATGGCATGTTATGGTGTTTTCAAATTTCAAGGATATTAAATTTGTTGTTGGTTAATGTCTTTCTCAGATCGCTTGGGTTCATTTTCCTTCCAGCGTATGTACAATTTCGTGATGTTATGGTGTTGTTAAATTTGTTGTTGGTGTCTTGGTGAATGTTCAGATCGCTTGGGCCTTGGGTTCATTTTTTTTCAACCATATTTACAATTCTGTGGATGTTATGGACTTATGGTGTTTTTAGGATATTAAATTTGCAACTTGTCATTGACTTTTTAATAATTATTCTGTTTCACAATGTATGTAGTGTGTAATCTGATATATTTGATTTTGGTATTTAAAACTTTTATTATATCTTTCAAATATCCAAATTCTTTGTACAAAAAGAGCCTAAAAAATCATTATTTCTCACTATTTGGACTTCTTCTACATAATGGGCCGGAAATAGTACTTAGAAAAAAAAGCCCAATAAAGGGCCCAATAACCGAATAAGCCCACTAACCGAACCGAATATATTTCTGTTATTTCGGTTCGGTTAGTTCACTATGTTCGGTTTCGGTTCGGTTTCTTCATCGTGATCATTTCGGTTATTCGGTTATTTCGGTTATTGAGACTGACCGAACCGATTAACCGTTTGCTCTGCCCTATCTATAGATACCAAGTCCATTCATCATTTGTTTCTTCGCTAACAATACCATATGCTAAAGGAAACAACTTATTGTCTGCATCAAATGCACAAGCTGATAATAAAGTTCCTTTGTAAGGACCACTCAAATGACATCCATCTATATAAATAATTGGTATGCAACCTTCCACAAAGCCTTTAATTGAGCATCCGTATGCAATGAATAGCCTCTCAAATCGGTTGCTATCTACGCCTTCCCATCTTGCAACTGTGTCAGAATCAGTTTCTATTAGTCTCTTACACATCTAAGGGATTACCTTATAAGAATCTTCTACTCGACCATGTAATTCTATTATTGCTCTCTTCCTAACCCTATATGCTTGAGTATATTTCAATTGCACTCCATATTCTTTATACAAGTCCTTTCTAATTTCATTAGGACTCTTGTCAACATTACACCTCAAGTCATCAATCACAATTGAAGTAGCTAAATTTGACCTTCCTGAGTGAGGTACAATTAAGTTGTCCTGTGCATGATGAATGTGTTCACTTTTGTACGTTTTGATAGTTAAAAACTTAGTATCTTGATGTGCTCCCATTAAATATGTACCCATATACCATGGACAACTATTAACCTTGCACTTTACAATAATCTTTTGCTGATTATTCTTAATGAAAAGGTACGAAAACTTATGGCATAAGCTGTACTTGTATAATGTTTTTTGGAGAGTTGCGGCATTTGGAAATATTTGTCCTTCTCCAATAATCAAATCCTTCTATTTTGTGGAATTCATTTGTGGTGTAGGTGTTGGGATTATTTCAACAGCACAAGGAATTGATTGTGGCTCTCCAATCACATCAAATAAGGTAGGTGGAGACATAGACAATTCATTGACACCTCCAAATGATTGATCAATCCTGCAGAAAATGACAAGTCATGGTGCATGCATTGACAAGTTGGTAGTAATATAGTAACAACTGACATACTAAGAAATCACAATAACAGTTTTGTTAAACTATACTTACACATCTTGCTCCTCCATTGTATTATCCCTTGTTGCTTCTATGTGGTCCTCATTTTCATTTTCTTCGACATACACATGACCACTTTCTTCACTGAACTTTATCAAATGTTCCACCCCATCATCATCTACCAACTCCACAAAAGTTTTTTTATCAAACACAACTGATAATTTCAGAGGAAATGAGTTGCTTTCTTTTCCAGCAATTGATGATATAGTTTCTTTCAATTCTTCATAACTTGTGCCCTCCTTTACATTGGTTGTTCTTACACAACCTCCCACATATCTCATATTATCTTCTCCATTATTTATAAACTTTCCTCCTATGTGAACAAAACAAAATAGATGTTTTTCAGACGTACTCGCCATCAGTAACTTAAACCTGCATCAAGAAGCACGCAACTGTCATTGACAACTTAAGGAGTTACATTGACAAGTGTCGCGGAACATATTGACAACAATCGCAGCCTGATTGACAACACAATCTCATTTCGTGCTAAGGGTTTCTACCCTCACTAACCTTCATCTTTTTCTTCCTTTGCCACTAAACTAACGTCAGAACAGAGGAAAACCATGCAAAAACAACTCAAAAACAGAGCACCCATGATCATTCTACATACCCAACTTAAATCACAACACACAACAACCAAAAACCCAGCTTTTCCATTCATTAACTTCTGAATCCTAAACCAAAAACAAAAGCTTTGAAATACCAAAAGCAAAAATGATTTTTTGATTTCCCATTCCCAAACAAATGCACAATCTGTCAAAAAAGGTAGGAGAGGAGAGAAAAGAAAGTTTCACACCTCAAGATTTGTCATATTCCTTGCATTTATAGAAGCTTCAACATCTTCTTTACCCATGGAAATCCTCGCATTTACAAAAGCTTCACCATGATAATTTTGCATGGGAAATCCTCACCCAAATGAACTTCTCCCGTCTTTTTTTTTCTGATAGCAGGAGAAGGGCAAGAGAGTAATTTGCGCATTTTGAAAATTGCATCTAAGTCCCTTTGGGACTTCAAAATAATTATGAGATTTCAGGAGACCTATTTGATGTATTTTCTTCTCCATGGGACCTCAATGTCATTTTCCCAATACATAAATATATAAGCTTCTCGCTAATTCCGAATCAGTGGAATATGGATCTGTTTTTAGAAGGCCAATTTTATGTTGGAATATTTTTAAAATGAAGAGATGTGTGTTTGAAAAGTCATATCCTTATATAAATTTATTAAATTAATAAATTTATATGAGGCGTTATGTCTTCATATAAATTAATAAATTTATTTGAAGGGTTATGTCTTCATATAAATTAATATATTTATATGAAGGTTAATGTAGGCAGTTAAAATATTAAATGACCCTGCATACTAAATACATTGTATTTAATAAAGGGTTATGTAAGAAGTTAAAACATTAAATGAATCTACATACCAAATTCATTGTATTTATTTAAATTATGTTGGTTAATGAACCAACATGCAGTTGTGACCTTTTATTTAATAAGGTTTTATTCCAAAAGATATCTCTTCAAGGCATCATTCTATGATCTATATAAACCTCCACCTTCACTTCATTTGAGAGATATACAACACAACACAACACAAACACTAAGATCAAACTCATTACTTTTATCTTTGAGTACACGCAGAGATAGAGTCAAATTATCACTTTGTAAAAGCCATTGTTGTCTTTGCTTGAATTTGGAAGTGCAATCCATATTCAAGGGTCTTCATTGTATCCTGAAGGAAATTCATCGGTCAACCCAACTTGCATCCTCAAAGATAGGATTAGGTGGGGGTAAATTAAGCCTAAAGGAAAGTGCTGTCCACGCCTTGAAAACATCATGTACCGCTTTCTTCTTCATCTCTTTTTCTTGTACTCTTCAGAGAACCATTCCCGCCAACATTTTATACACACGCAAATCTGATATAGTCACCATGCCAAAATAATCAACATGTTGTTATAATTAAGCTAACCACTACTTCGTCTCTAAAATATAAAGAAAATAAAAACTGAATTAACTGTTACATAACAATCTTCCTAATAAAGAATTCAAAACTAACTGAATTGACTTTTTCCCGTAGTACAAGCATTATGAACACTGTTTAGCCCATTAAAATCCTCAAACTAGCTTGGGACTTCTTCACGGTTTCCATGTCCTCTTTAGGAAAAGTGGAACATCGTAGTGTATATATAATACAGTGTCAGTATCGATATTAACACAACATATGCCCTAGATTTTTAGATTGGAGGCCATAATGGAAGAGTATAACTAGACAAAGAGAAGAATCAATTAAGCCACAAACTATAATTAATTATAATCATGATTTCACAGATAAAGAATATATGACAAGACGCTAGCAAAAGAAAATAATTGAAATTTTGTTAAAAATAATAATAATGCAAATTAGTAAGTGGACGCCATGATTAAAATGATGCGAGTCGGTGAGTTTTAATTCATTAGAGCAATATGATACGACGAGGCTCGTCCAACTACCGACTGGGCAAAACGAAGGATTTGTAATGCATACGAAACAATTAAATTATGAAGGCTGAGCTGTAGTTGTAATATTAACTAATCACTGGCAAATAGAACAGTGCCCAGTGTTCATCTTTGAATACGGATGCGGTGGGCAGATAAACTATAAAGAAAACAGAGAACTAATTATTACTTATATATAGTGTTAGTAAGTTAATCAATATAAAAGTTCCGCAGATTTTCTATGGTTCTTTTGTAACTTTCTAATTTAGAGAAAGCAGCCGAATCACAATCACAAGTATTAATTAAAAGGAAAATGCAAACATTTTGTCGCAGGCCAGCATGCAACTTCCGACAATGCTGATCCTGATGTCCTTTGAGTGAGACTGGAATTTTGGTAATATCCCCACGTTGAAACATGCTTGTCGGATAGGCACGCAAGGAGCTGAAGTTGATTTCTTCAGAATCAAGTCAAGGAATCCTCAATTACCCTTATCTCTCCCATTCTTACATTAAAAAAGTTTAGTTCAAAATTAAGTACTACCTTTGGTTCTTAATATAAGACATCAATTGACTTTTATTTTAGTTCTAAATATAAGATCCCATTTCATTTTGTCTTTTATATTTATCTAT